ATTTCGTCGCTGAATAGGATACAGTAAAAAAAAATGTGATAAATTTGAATTCAATGATCATGAAAAACGGTTCTAAACGGAGATGATCTGTCATCGGCCTATTATCATACATATAGTATATATAAATACAATTTACAATTAGTTATTATTTATTTTACTATCTACAGTAGAAAAATTAGAAACCATAAATAGATAAAACCAAAAAATAATTTTAATGTTTTGAAAATATTAATGTGTATAAAAAAATAAAATAAAAATAAATAAGTAAAAGTTTCACAGAAAAAATTTTACTCGATAAATTAAAGATTAAAATTAACTTCACTTAGTAAAAAAGAGAGATTAATTTTTCATGCAACAATAACAAAGATTATTATAATAAATTATTTAAAAAATAAATTACCAAAATCGAAGAGTCAACAAATCATTATTTTTTGTTGGGTCTGGATGATACGAAAAGAAAATTAACTCAATTGCAAGATAATGATGATTAACTAAAAATAGCTTTAGTATTTTAAATGAATAATTTAAAATACAAATAACTAACTAATTAAGTTTAAAATGCTTAAATAATTAATTTTCAACTTAACTTTAACTTCTTAAAAGATTAAGCCCACACTTTTATAGCACTCGGGTCATTATAATGTTAATTTTATAATTATGTATAACAATTATAGGTACACATAAATACATAATTTATACAGCATCTTTTAATCATTAATATTTTTTTTAATTAATTGAATTCTTACTTTTAGTTTTCTCCATAATTATTTGAAATTGTTCCTCTTGACTTGACGGTTTTTTCTTCAGCTTCGTAGCATAATATTCCAGTAACTTCTCATAAAGTTATAAAATAACATTTTTGCATATTATATAAAATAACATGTTACTAGTTTAACGAACAACTGGTTGAAGAAAGACTGACAGAGTATTGTCAACGGGGTCATATACACTGTATCTATAAAAAAATTGTATAATAATTTTCAATTATTAAATATTTTCTCTTGAAAKTAAACGATCGACTGAAAAACTAATTTATACAATATGTTTACAAGTTACATATTATATCAAACAACTTTTGTATTTATTTTATACACGATTACCAGCGGCATCTAGTACGACTCGCACGATTACCCAATACCAAAAATAATCGTTTATAACCAGTGGCGGACTGGACGACGGGGATACCGGGAAATTTCCTGGTGGCCCGCTGCTGGTATAAAATAGGTATATATTTATTAATATTATAATGGTGAAATAATAAATTAAAATATTATCTAATAAGTAATAAGTATGTAATATAAAATATTATTAAACATAAAAACCTAGATTTCTGATTAGGTATTGGTATTTTAAAATGCGGGACTGGCTTGTGTTCGGCCAGACCAGGCTTACAGTAGGTTACAATAATAGTAGGTCACTGTAATGAATGGTATTAAAGTTGAATTCAATGATATAATATTATTGTGTACGAAAAACGAGATTTTGAGACGGTATATCTATAATATTACTATAGGTAGGCAATAGRCATATTTTATAATATTAGTTGTGATCAAAGTAATTAATTTTAGTATTAGGCATCTGGCATTAGTATTTTCTACAGTAGGTTAAATTCATTTTTCTCCAAAAAAATACATTTGAAAATGTCATTGTGTGTATAAAATACAATAATATGTCAATACATATATTCTTAAAAGTTTCTTATATCCACGAATAATATTTATTTTTAAATTACAACAAAATAACCAAAATCGATATTATCGGATTTAATATGTAATTTCATCCAAATTTTTGTTTAATAATAATAAATTTATTTATTGCTAGTAGTTGATAAATGTGAACAAAGTGTATGG